TGGTGGGTGGTGGCGTGGTGTCTCCCTGCTGCGTGCATCGGTGCTGAGTCGGGGTGCTGGCACTCTACCTGACGCCGTGCCCCATCTCTCCCCAAGCATTTCTACCAGAACAGGGCGCAGCCTCCCGCCAGCGCGTCCCGCGTGCAGAGTAACACGACGGCCCGTCCCGGCCCCCCTGCCCATGTGTATCCGGCTGCTTCCCAGGTGATGATGATACCCTCCCAGATATCCTACACACCTTCCCAAGGAGCCTATTACATTCCCGGACAGGTGAGGGCCGTGCCCTGGGCTCTGCAGGAGGGGGGGCTGGGGTGGGCACTGGTGGGGGGGTGTTGCCCGGGGTTGGAGCCCAGGTCTGTTTTGGGAGGGTGGAAGGGGTCCCCCAGGCTCTCTGAGCACCCACTGATTTGAACAGGGTGTTCCCTGCCTCTGTAGAGGGGTGGCAGGCAGCGCTGGTCCCCGTCCCCGCCAGCCCTCCGAGGTGCCTGGCGCCTGTTTTGCCTGCATCCTGCTCCCTGCCCTGGCGCTCAGCTGGTTCACAGGCAGGTTTGGGGATACATCAGTGGTTTGGGGGTACATCCATGTCCCACAGGGGAGGTAACTGACCTTTCTTCTCCCCCGTTGCAGGGTCGCTCCACGTACGTCGTCCCGACCCAACAGTACCCGGTCCAGCCCGGCGCCCCTAGTTTTTACCCTGGAGCCAGCCCCACAGAGTTCGGGACTTACGGTACAGATGGGGGGCTTGCTCTGCTCCCCGGTACTCTTCCAGCCCCAGCACTTCCCCCGTTTTTTTGCTCCCCTGCCTCTGGCCTCCCTACAGTACCCTGTGCTCAGGAGCTGAGCACAGACCCCTCTACCTTTGCCAGCTCGCTGGGGCCATCTCTGTGACTCTGTTACAGGCTGTTTTAGGGGGGCAGGGGGTGTTGCCTGTCTCCCAGCAGCACTTGAGGGCTGCGCATCGTGTCCCACCGGTCCATCCACCCCCACCCTTTTCCAAATCGGGACCGTTTAATGTTTAACTCTCCTGGCGGAGGGCTGGGGCAGACTTTATCCCCTGTTCCCCCACATTCACCGTCAAGGTGGTGAGCAGTTTTGTGCTTGCTGACCCCCCCAGCCTCGGATCCCCGCTCCCCAAGGAGCCAAGCCTGAGGTGCCAGGGCTGCTCCGTGCCTGCCCTCTCCCGGCGCTGGGAAGTGGCAGTGTGAGCAGCCCCCCCCCTTTTTCCCCCCCCTCGCATGTGGCCACCCGGGCTGTGACTATATTTAGGCTTGGTCGGTCTCGGGAGGCCCGGCAGACACAGAAATGTGAGCCGAGGCCTCCGGCCCGGCCCCGGCACGGCAGCAAAGCATAACCGGGGCAGAGATGGGCTTCTCCTGAGCCAGGTACGTGCCCGTCCTCCCTCCCTCTTGTCCTGGGGCCCAGCTGGCCCCTTGGAGGAGGGAGGTGGGCCCCAGCAGCGGCCGGCTCCTGCGCTCAGGCCAGGGCATGGCTGCTCTTTTGTGCCTGACTCTGGGGCATCCCCTGGGTGTTTCTGTGGGGTCCCGGGATGGGTTTTCCCCCTGCCTCCGCTTTGGGGCTGCAGCTGTTCCCAGGGCAGCTGGCAGCAGCGTGCCCCTTGCCCGCAAGACTGGGTGGGTGGCCTGGCATGGCGTGCCCCTTGACGGGCGAGACGAGCCGGCCCTCCTGGTCCCTGGGGCTGGACAGCTCAGGGGGTCTCCCTCCCTCCCCCTGACCCATCCCGGGGTGAGAAGCCCGGCTGCTGCCCCCTCTCCCCCCTGGGCAGAGGGAGGGGTCCCTGGCTCAGGCACCAGAGCACCCTGGGGGAGTTCCAGGCTAAGCGCAGCCTGGGAGGCGCTGGAGCCAGAGGGGGCCAGGGCCCAGCTGTGCCTGTGTCCCCCCGCCCCATGCCCATATCCTCGTGGTGCCGCTCTGGGGTGATGGTTGCGGATGCCCAGGGAGGAGCGGAGCGCCTCTCAGGGGCTGTGCCAACCCTGGATGGGGTCCAGCTCTGCCTCCGGCCCCCGGCACAGCTCCCTCCTCCGGGCTGGGCTTGCCGGGGGCTCAGGCTGTGCAGGGAGCACGAGCCCCTCGGCCTGGGTGTGAATGGAGGGTGCGGACGGGGCTGCCTGGTGCCGCCCTTGGGCTGGTGCCGGCCCTGGGGAGATAAGGGTGCCGGCAGGAAGGCGGCTGCCGGTGGAGCCGGGACGCCCGTACCTGGCATGGCCGAGCGTCCCGGCCAGGCCGTCGGTGGTGTGGAGCCGGTGGGCACGGCAGGCGCCCGCAGGGCCCGGCTGGGCGTGGGGGCGGCGCGGGGACGCTCTGCTTCACAGGGAAGGAATTCGGTCAGGCCTGTCAAGCGGGTTGGGACGACCTGGGCCGGATGCGATGGGGGTTCACGGCAGAGCGGCACGGGCTCCCCAGGCTTCTGACAGACCCCTGTGTTTGGGGGATCGGGGGGTCCCCAGGACAGCCTTGAAGGATCTAGGTTGGCTGGTCTGACGCTCTCTCCTCTCCTCCCAGCGGGTGCTTATTACCCGGCACAGGGGGTGCAGCAGTTCCCAGCGGGGGTCCCTACCGCCCAGGTCATTGTGAGCCAGCAGCCGCCGATCCCCCCAAAACGAGAGCGCAAGACGGTAAGAAGCCATACACCTCCAGGCATGGGGGGGGCTCGTGTGCAGGAGGGGACGGTGCCCGCCCCGGGTACCTGTGGTGTGCAGGATGGGATGTGGTGCAGCACGCCGTGGAAGGCGGGGGCGGCACGGGGCCATGCCGCCCCCCCCCAGCTTGGGGGGGGCGCTCAGTGAGGGAACTGGGGTGCGTGACTGGTGTTGGCAACCTTGGCTGTCCCGGCGGGCAGCGTTGTGCTGAGTCACGGCTCCTGGGGGGGGTGGGGGTGCCGCGGCTGCCAACTGCTGTCTGCTCCCGGAGATGCCGGCACTCGGAGGCCTCGCGCGGGGCCTATTTATAGCGGGGAGCCGGGCGGCTGCCGGCATGGCCCCACAGCGGGGGGCAAGGGGTGCTACTGGGCCAGGGAGGGGGGATGCTGGCATTTCCTCGGCAGAGGGGCCTCGGTGCCCCTTGGGCTCTGCTCTTGCTGCCCGGGAAGCGGGTCATGTTTGGGGGTGGGGAGGGCAAGACCCCTGGCTGCACTGTGCCCCCCCCACCTGAGTCCCAGACCCATGTGTGTCCCCCACTCAATTCCCAGCAGGGTGCCCTGTGGCTCCTGCTGCACCCATGGCAGCCACAGTGAGGCTGCAGGTGTATGGGCTCGCCATGACTTTTGCGTGCCAAGGCCCGTCCCCTGTGCTGTCCCTGAGGTGGGAGGGGGTCCCCGCAGCCCCTGTGCCAGTGTAGTGATGCCTTGGGATGCCCTGACCCCTGGAGACATGCACTGGCTTGGGGACACGGTGCTGGCTCCGACTGCCTGGCATGATGGCTTGCAAGGCTCGCCGTGCCCCATGCTGTCCCTGTCCACTGGGCATTGGGACAGGCCGGTGTCTGTGGGGCACTGTGCCCCGCGGGGAGAGGAGGTGGCACCTGTGGGTCCCCAGGCTGCACGTGGCCAGGGCAGGCACAGTGCTGAATGAGCCTCTCGGAGAAGGGGGTGTTGTGCGGGTGTGGGGCCCAGGGAAAGGGGGTGGCCCATGTGCTTTTTCCCCAACCCCGCTGACAGCTTCCCCTTCTCTGCCCTGACCTGGGGACAGATCCGGATACGAGACCCCAACCAAGGCGGCAAGGACATCACTGAAGAAATCATGTCCGGAGCAAGGACCTCATCCACCCCCACCCCTCCACAGGTAAGGGGACCCGCCCCGCTGACTCCCTGACTGGGGCAGCGGGATGTGCACGGGCCCTGCTGAAGTCCCTCTTTGCCTCCCCCCCAGGCTGGAAGCGGTTTGGAGCCCCAGGCCAACGGAGAGACCCCCCATGTAGCAGTTATTGTCCGGCCAGGTAAGTGCCCGTGCTGGGGGTGGGTGTGCCAGCCAGCAAGGCTGCTGCCAGGCTCCATGTTGTTGGCACTGCGGGGTGCGAGATGCCAGCCCTGCCATTACTCTGTTCACCTGGGGCTTGTGGGGTCAAACGCATTCCCTGCATACCTGGTGACTGGTGCCCCCACGTTGGGTCCAGGAGAGTTTATGGGGGCTGTCTGCTCACCCCAGCTGTCCCCTGGAGGACCCCTGTCGTCCCAGTCACCCGTTTGTGATGGGGATTGGCACATCTGTCCCTATTCCTCCTGCAGATGGAGGGGTCTGGGGGGGATGCAGGGTGAGCGAGTGATTGGAGAGCTCCCCATTAATGCCGCCCACCTTGCAGATGACCGCCCGAAGCCGGCGCTGGTGGTGAGCAAGCCCGTCTCCCTGGAGCCCAGCAAGTCGGCGTCCCCGTCACCTCCCCCTCCCCTCATCCCCGAGGTGGAGCCTGTGGTGCTCTCGGCCGTGACGCTGGTGCCAATGGAGCCCCCCGTGGATGCGGACACTAAAGTGGAGCTGGGCGAGGCGCCGCCCGACCCTCACAAGACGTTTAGCGCCATCACTACAGTGCCAGGGGCTGCGGAGCTGCCCCTCGTGCCCGCACCAGATATGGACACGGTGGCTGCGGAGGAGGAGGAGGAGGAGGAGGAGGTCGCCATTCCCCTCCCG